TTTCTTTTTGCAGCACGTTTCTTTTCGTCTATTAATGTGGCCATTATTGTTATGCGATTCCCATTCATAGCTTTAGCCAAGTCAGTCCTTAAACTGTAATCTAATTGGCGTGAATCAGGTGAATTTGATGCCCAACGACACTTCAGGATAAAATCGGGACAATGGAACAGCTAAGTAATTTTTGCCTCAGGTAATATGTATGAGGTACTATATCATCTTTCTTATGTTCCAGTTCTGTCCTAGCATAATGTTATCGGATTTTAGAACTATTGGAAGAATCTTATTCATGTATCTTTGAGAATCCATTGTTTCATCTTCGAAAATAACCAGCTTTATCAGTCCTTACCCACATACATCTAACTACATCATCACCTGTACTGAAAACTTTGTTTTCTCATGAGCAACATCTTGCCTGTTTCTTCTCTGTTGATTGTTCCAATCTTATCATTCTATATAATATTGGGATCACGTAACAGCAATAGCCACATTAATAGATGAAATAACACATTCTGTGAAGAAAAATTAAAACAAAAGAAAGAACTGAAATTTTTCTACTGAAAATGATAACATACAAATACATTAGATAAAAGAGTTTAGGAGATTTTATTCATTAAATAAACTATACCATTGGGTGCTAATTTTCAAGTGTTATCTTTCGATGAGAAAGAATGTTTCAATCAACCGAATAATAGAGACGAAATTTCGAAAATACCAATAGCACAATTCGTTATAGATCACCCAACAGTATTAAGTCAACATTGCACAATACTGAATCAATACTTTATTTTTTAAATGAGCACAACATGGATCTTGTTGACGGTTGAATCATTCACGGGTAATAATAAAAGGCTGAAAATGAAACCGAAGCAACCGAAAATGTTATGATTGGTCATCTTCGATCCACATATGATTCAAACGGACGGTAACCAATCATGTGTTTTTCGTTCCATTTTCGACCTTTTATTATTACCCAACATGCACAGGTATTTTTTAACTGCGTTGTGGTGTCAACAAAAAGAAAAAGAAAACTTTCTTCTCATTCATACACAAGTGCTGTAAAATCCCCTTATGGTTTTTTTATAGTCAATAATTTGAGTGGCAAACATTCATCGAAACATCAATCAACTCTCTTTTCTTATTTTAAGAAAGCAACATAAAAACTGCTAGAAAGGATTTGGCTGTGGCTTTGGATGTAATCTTCCTTTTAGTCATACAGATACCTACACCCCATACTATTATCAAACAGAGACAGTGAATAGTTTGGATAACATTTTTTGCACGTTGTTCTTCAGCTGCTAAATTGGCTTTGGCATTAGTTTCTATTTCATAACGAAAGACGCCAGAATTAAAATTTTCGAAGAAAAAACGATATTCATATTCTTGTCAGTGTTGCATTTATTCCTAATATTGAGAGCGTAGGTGTTAGTCATAATGAAACGAACACCCGCATCATTCCCTTATTCATATCTTCAAGAAGTCTCAAAGAATAAGCTCTGGTAGCTATTGATGCGACTATTTCTTTTAGAGAGGAGCCAGTTTGAGACTCGGTCCAACATTGTATTCGAACTTTTAGGATGTAGCGGCAGGCAGGATTGGAGTGCCAACGTTATTGTTTTGAAATTAAACAATTTATTTGTGTTTAGGTCTGTGAGCTAATAATTCTACTCAACTGCATTTTATCTTGAGTCATTTCTATCTCATTACTGTTCCTTTTCATTTTATCTTGGTGCAATACTCAGCAAAAGTTTGAAGCGCAAGGGTGTAGGTATTCGGTGCTGATCTTTTCTTTAGCAAAGCACCCACACTCACACAAATTTCGTGAGCAACATTCACATTCATAAGCAGCTTTCTTTTTTACAAGTTACAGATTCATTTATATCAGTTGTTGCCGTCATGCTTTCTTTATGATAAGTAAAGAAATGAGGATGATGAAATACATCTCATACTATCATATCAACGTATGATTCGACAACGTCTTAAGACTACATTGGAAAGCAAAAAGAAAAAGAAAGATTTGTTGATAAATGATTCTTTACATTGAGAGTAAAAATTCGATTTGATCATTGCATTCATTCTAAAAAAATATTTCATTGATCTGTGCTTCAATGTATGAACATCATAAAATGAGATGAGGACGACTGATGGATAATAATCAAAATCTTCGCAAAAACATAGGGTCATCTGTTTTTGCAATATTTATGTCAAAATTTATTTACTAATTTATCAGGTGTGTATACAAAAAAGAAAAAGAGCACATTGTAAAAGTTATATCGTTCTAATTAAATATTATCAACTACACATTTAATTGTAAATTGAAATAGGTAATTGTTCATTTTCAATCATTTGATCATCAGCTATCTGTGCATGAAAACATAATGAACGAAGATAAGAATTACCAATATCATCAATGTCCTTCAGAATTGTAGATAAAAACAATTGAATATTCATATTATCGACGGGTTTCACTTTTAAATATATCATATAAGGAAAAATTTTCCAAATTAAATAAAAATCTTGCATATTATTAATTTCTTCAATGTTAACTTTAGTAATTTGTTTTCAGTTTCTTCTTAAACAAAGACTAAGAAGTTCTATATTAACTGAGCCTCTTGTTTCATCTAATGATAACGAATAAAGTTTGAACGTAATTAAATCAGATAATAAACTTATCAATTGAATTAAAATATGAATTGATGAATGCTTTTTAGGATTAATTAAATGAAAATTTGTGCAATAGTTCAAATACGTTTGGTTTTTACAAATATGATTTGAACATATAAAACAGTAAGAAAATTGAACAATATTGAAGTATTTGTTGTTGACTATTCAATATTGTTATCTTCTATATAATTATACCAGATTTTGCTAAAAGAAATAAAACAACTGATTTCTTTTACAGAAAATGTTGATCCCTCTACGTGTATGGGATACATCACACATTTGATATACATTCTTTCAATCTGCGTTTTAAATACCCATTTTCGTTCAATCCAAAATGATGAAGAAAATTCGTTTAACTTCCTGGATCCCGACAATTCTTGTGTTCTTTACGATCTTGTAGAAAAATCGAAAAATTCCCCTCTCTTGCATTCTATCGTCGTAAATCAGTGGTATACTTGTATATTGTTTTGCATGTAAAACGTGAATTGATACATCCACATAAATGAACATTTCGTTTCACAGTTGTTTATCGATATAACAGAACAAAGAACGGGTGTTGGTGTCTGAACTGCGAACAGTTGTTCGTTTTATCAACATCCACACCTACACTCAATATCACTGATTGAGTTTACTTAAATAATTATTTTTTGATTAATTATGTGAACAACAATTGATATGAAGCCATTAGCTAAGGGATCTGTCACCAATGACGAGAAAAATTTATCATATCTCATTGCAAATAATATATCAACGACAAATATTTGATGTATTTCGATAAAGAGAAATTGTCGAGAGATATTCAAAAATTCTTCATTACTTCATGAATAAATTTTTGTTTTTAAATCAAAGAGACAGTAGTGTCAAACTTGAAAGTTGAATTCAAGTATTCAAGTTTTCAATTAATCAACGTCTAGAATACCACTAGAATCACGGAACATCGATAGCTTTTGTGTAGAATGACACTAACATCATCTGACATGCTACAGGAGTTATCTAGAGTGCTGTCAGTATTATCCAGAATGCTACTGATTTTAGTCAAATTGCTTCAGACATTATCTGGGACGCTACAAAAAGTATGCGAGAAGCTTGAGCTACTATGTGGCACTGAGTGGGAATAACAGTGTACACAGAGATGTGTATGGATCGCAGCTCTCCAAGAGGCGCTTTCACAAGGAATACTCGCAGAACACTTGACAAGTAAAAATTTGAATAGTTGAATACTTGAATTCAAGTTTCAAGTATTAAATATGTGTCGTCAACTGTCTTATGTTTGACAAATGTCAATCTGTTAGTAATAGAACTCTAGAATATAATTAAATCTTTGTTCTTTGTATCGTACTCAAATAAAAAAATATATTTAACATAGGATATATATTCCATTGTGAAAATTACTTTCAATCTTTATTTGATTTTCATGTTTCTATTTATTTAAAAACAAACTTTTTATATAAGTTAGTTTTGAAAAAATTTTTACTGCGAAAAATGTTTATTATAGAGCCAATTGTTTTTTCATTTGCCTTATGTTTTTTAGTGTGTCTTTAATATTTAAGAAAACCGAATTGAAACGACATCTCTCATAAGACATTTAATTATTCTCTTTTATATTGTCAAGAATGATTCATATTAAGAATTCTGCTGTTCTTTTATTATTTTATCGAGAAATAATAAATGTGATTTTAAAAATGGATCAATATCGAACGAAAAAATGAGTTTTCATTCAATATAATAAATGAATATAAAGAATGACCCAATTCATTTTTTATGTAAGATTTTTCATTTTTGCTTTCGAGATTTTTTAGTCTACTTTTAAAAACAAAACTAAATAAACAGATTTTATTTTATTATAAATGACAATTACTTATGAAATAGTCTTGTTTACAAGAAAATTGTTTTCATCAAACCTAACATATTGATCTGAAAGATATTCACTTTTATTAATAAATATTCTCTACAATGTCGCCTTTTCTTTTTTATTTCGAATAAAGATGAGATTTTATACTACATTTATATCAAGTTAATTGAGATTCATTTAGTTTATTATATATAGGAATGCATAAATATATTTAACTGATTTACAGTAAAATAAAATTTTGAAATTTATTAAATTTATCAAATCGATAGAAAATGATTATTTTACTCTTGATAAATAATCAATCGAATATGACAATAAGATATTATTTAACAATCAATTTAAACACATGTCGAAATTAACTTTCTCCAATGTTTTTATTATTGATATTTATTAGAATAAATATTGATCAAATACATTAGACGAGCAAATATTTTTATTTTTTTATATTGGTTAAATTGGTTGTTTTATTTCTAATAGATTAAAAAAAATGAATTGTCGATCATTATCAATGTTATCTCGTTATGTAAAAATAAGTTCAAATATTGGAAATCGATGTATACTAGGATATAATAATAATTGTTTAGTTACTACAAATGAAGAATCAAATCGTCGATATATAGGAAAAAGTTCATCGAATACTCGTCGACCGAATCGTATTCGTCGATTTCTTCGTTGGTTTGGATGGGGAGCTGAACCCATAGTATCATCATTACCACCACCACCACCGCCAACAACAATAATGCAAAAAGTCAGACGTTTTTTTCTTATATCACCATCAATTGAACGATTTTTACTTCGATCTTATATTGTTGAAGATGAAGATTTAGCAAGATTATTATCTAAAACAGCTGCTGTAACAATATATGCTATGTTAACTGTAACAACACTTGGAACAGTTGGTGTTGATACAAAACCATTATTAGCCGGTATTGGTATAACAGGTTTTACTATTGGTTTTGCTCTTAAAGAAGTTGCTACAAATTTTATATCAGGAACATTTCTTGTTATTAATAAACCATTTGTTCGAGGATGTAGAATTAAAATTCATGGAAGTGGTGGTGGAATTGAAGGTTATTTATTTTCACTTTTCTTTTGAAAAAAATAATTTTCAATTTTTGTTGAAAAGGTCTTGTTCATTTTATTGATGTTCGATATGTTCATTTAAAAACAAAAGATCGTAAGTTATTCATTGTTTTTATTTTCTTAAATGAAATGATAATAAAATATTGATAATAGATGGTATAGTTATGGTTCCATCAGCAATTGTTTATACAAATGCTTTTACAGTATTTCCAGCAGATGATGAAGCAAATGCTGGTTTTATGGATATGACTAAACCATCAATAACTGATCCAACAAAACAAAGTCAATCAATATCATTACCTTCATCACCTATAACCAGTTCAAAAGAGAAAAAATTAAAAATGATATTTGAAACCGAACCAGCAGGAACATTTAAAAAAATACCCACTAAATGAAAAATTCTAGATTATATTGTTTTTTTTTTTAAATAGAATAGTTTATTTTATTTTTGTATAATAAATTTTTTTTTTTCGTTTGATTTTTAACAAGTTGATATATAAATATGCTTTTTTTCAAGCATGAATAAATATAGATAATGCTTGAAATGAAAATCTAAATAATTGATATAATTGTCTGTTAATAAATGAAATAAATTTAATCTTTGTCTTTGTCTTTGTCTTTTTGTTCGGGATAAAAAACACTATCTTCCCGATCTAAAATAGCTTGTTTAGATGATTTATTACGATAATTTTCATTAAAAACTCCTCTTGCCCATGTTAATGTTTCATTACAAACTTTCATAGCCCAATGTGCTTTTCGTGGTTGTACAAGCCAATCAGGATCATTAATTAATAAATCAAGAATTTGTGCAACATTATACCAATCGACAAGTAATCTTCCATGTATAGGTAATTCTTTTTGACGTGAACGTATATATGATATAAGAGAATTTAATGTTGGAAATTTTCTTGTACCTTTTGTCATAACTTCAACAATTGATTCAATTGAACGTAATATAATTAATAATGCTGTTTTAGTTATTGTTGTTGATAATGTTATTTGTATTATATCATTTTTATTAAGTTCAATCATATGATTAAATGTACGTTTTAAATCAACAAATTTTTCAGTTAAATTATCTAAATTAAAATTTCCAGTTTTAGCAGATAAAAGTGCATTTTCAAATGATTTAATATCATCAGCATGAGTTAATGATTTATGTTGATCATCTGATGATGGAATATCAAATGCATATTGTCGTAATTGTTCATTTTTTTGAATTTCAGTTTTATGTCGAAGTTGTTCAGCTAGTTCAATTGCATGACACCAACGACTACGTACAAAATGATCACCTTTATGATTATTTGAACCATTTTCATCTATTGACTTTAATGATGATTTATCCATTTTATTTTTCTACAATAAAACTTAAATATAATTTTACAACAAGATAACACTACCTGTTCTTTTATTCTTTTATATTATTGGTCAACATGTGTTCGCATGCACTCTTCACACATATATATATATGCTGGTGAATATGCCATTGTCGTTATATATATTTTTTCTTTTCTTCCCTCGAAAATATTCATCATTAAATTATAGAAGAAGCTTAGTGCTGTCCTCTTAGCCTATGCATCGATCCTTTTATTTTCGTCTCTTTTTTCCTCTTCAGCCGCTGAGCCAAGCAAAAAAAAACTAAGGAGAAGACGCTGTTCTCATCACTCGTTCGTGCCAACTAAATAACGATCCTTTATATAGTCTTTCGTGTTTTGTTTTTTTTCTTTTCCTTTTTTTTTGCTTTTCTTTCTTTTTTTCTCTCGCTGTTAACATCGTTTAACGATGACTGATTACAGTGAAAAACTGATCGTGGAATTCCTAACTGGAATTCAACCAATAAACAACTGACAAGATATATATATATATATATTCAACATATTTCCAAAACAATAAAATTTATTTCAATTCAAATCAATTTCTCTTTATCAACACAAAATCAATAAAGAATATTTGTTTTATATAAAACTCTCATAAAACAATCAATAAAATCATTATAAATGAGATAAATAAATCAATTTATGGATTAGAACAAGAAAAATGTACCAAAATCATTTTTATCTTAATTGAACGAAATGCAAAAAAAAAAATAAATGTTCAATAATCGAAATCAGTTTTATGGAACAAGAAACAACTTGAATTGATTTAACGCTATGTTCACTAATATTTTTCAATGAATGAGTCCATTCTTTTGCTCAATATTATTATTTAACATGCAACACAGGAAGAAATTTAACTATTATATATATATATATGTAAGAGTCTTCACGATCATATGAATAAGATAAAATATAAATTCTTATTTTATATTTATGTTCGAGACGATGTTTCCTTTTTCTCTAACATGATTATAAAAGATACTTTGATAAAACATATTCGATTTTGACTGATTATTTAATATTTGGAGAGAAAATAAAATAATATATCAACATAAGACGATCTATATTGACAAATTTTCTATAATCAATTTGATTATTCTCTTTTCTCTTGTTCAAATACGATTAGGAAATAAATAAAAAATTTTTTTTAATATTGAAATCAAATTGGTTAACTATTTATATATACATATATATGTCAAATGTCCCTAAAGTAATTACCCGAAAGTAAATTCGTATATTTTTACTATTTGATTTGGCTTGATCAACAATTTTTTTTGTAATGATAGGTAGATACACAGAGTTTTTATTTACATAAACAACTGTCAAAAGTAATATTCAAAGACATTACCTTTAACTGAAATATAATGATTTAATCGATTTTCTATTTTAAGAAAAACTTATGGATGAAGTCTATTTTATTCGCTTGAGTTTTGACTTGATACCATTCGATTCATTTTTTTGCGAAGATATGTCAAATAAAAATCTATGAAAAGACTGTTTAGCAATTCAAGAATTTAAAGATCCGCATCACTCAATAACCCAAAATAATTAAACAATAAGAAAATGTTGTGTGTTTTTTTTTTCTGGAGACAGAAAATAGGCTAAATTTTTGTATGTTAGTTAAAGGTAATACCTTTGAAAGTTACTTTTCATGTTTGTTCGTATAAATCAAAAGTGAGTGTATCAATCTATCATTTTAAGAAAAATAGTTGATCAAGTTAAATCAAATCAAATAGTAAACACATACCAATTTACTTTTAAGATACCCTTTATATATATATATAGTGTACTAACGAGGGGACACCTCTAGATGAAGCTCCGCTTTTGACGTTATATTTTGCCAATATGTAGGCCTTAGTAAGACTAGAAAAACATCAAAAGGATTTGGGTTTCTGTGACCTCTTGGTTGAGATATGAAGTTCACATCTTCTCTAACAATGCTGCCATGTCGATTTTTTCACCACGATATAAAATATAGACTTACAGTTTTTTTGCGTGAACTGTATTTCATAGTGGTCATATGTGACACACATTTTTAGCTCTGACAACGATTCTTAACCACACATATGAAGCTTCCTTGCCTGACACTAGCTTTCATGAAAGAGAGCTTCCAAAATAACGCCTAGTTTTTTTAGACGAGTTGTATATGAACATGCGTTTAATTTAATAAGTGACAGTATTGATTTTATTCTCTCATACTGATTCGTTATGCTTGGTACGCGAGCGGCTATTTAATGGTTAATCTTGGCTACTTTTTCACGGTCAAAGATATTTGCTTCAGTCTGAAAAAGTCGGTTTGCGAAGAGAAAAATTACGACAACTCTACTTTTATCAGGTGTAGTTGGTGTCGCAAAGAGTTATGTTTTGAACATTTTTTCCTTGCCTATCACATGAACTAATTCATCATATTGTCAAAGTTCAGTTGTCTCGGTTACATTGCTTAGATTCATTTTATGTTAGTGTTTACTTTTGTTCATGATACATAAGAATTTCAGCATATATTCAATAAGACTGTTCTGCACATGCAGAAACTTATGAAAAAAAAGTCGAGTTAACCTTCGAAATCTTTGTCAGAGCTAAAAAAAGTGTCACATATGGCCATTATAAAATGCAGTTCACGCAAAAAAAACTTTAAGTCTGCATTTCATCTCGTGGTGAAAAAATCGACATTGCATTCTTACTAAAGGCCTACGTATGGGCAAAATATAACGTCAAAATCGGAGCTTCATCTGAGAATGTTCCCTTGTAAGGGTAAATATAATTTTTATTAAATTAATTTGTGATAATCAATAAAACAAAGAATATGAAAGAAAAATAAAGTTGAAGATCTAATCATTAAATAATAATAATGATTCAATTTATTTAGATGATAGACTTTTCAACTTTTATTTAAGACAATATATTGATTATTTAAATAGAATTGAATTATTCATCTTAACATTGATTTACTATGAAACGTTTGTTTTTATTTTAAAATAAAGAAACAAAAAAAGAAAGCAATATTACATATTTTACTATGAATGATTTTATCTTATCTTAAAATGAACAAGTCAATTAATATTCTTTATTTTATTCATATTAAATTTAGGAATGCTATTCTTTATAATCATTGAAATTCATATATGAACTGGTAGAAATTATTTTAAATAAGATATTAATAATCTCGACTAGTGAATAATTATCTCTTTTATTAATTAATATCACAGTTAAATCTAAACACAATATCAATTCAAATGTCACTTATTAACAATAAAATCTATTAATATGACTTTAATTTATTTATTTATAGAAAAATAAAATCTAAAGAAAAAATTCTTTGACATAGAAACAAACAAAACAAAGAAAAGATAAATTGCTATTCATTCTATTATTGTAAAAAGAAATAAAATAAATTGATAATAATAATAATAATATCATTCATAATGTTGATAAGATTTTAAGAAAAGAAAGAAAAAGTATAAGACCAGTTTGTCCAACACCAAGTAGAAAACAAAAAAATGGTTTAATTTCTACAGATGCAGCATAAAATATAGCTGATATAAGTGCGCCTAGAATATAAATTATCAATTATAGAACAAAAAAAAAACAAAACCGAAACACTTAAATAATATAAAATTTACTTGTAAAAGCTGATGGAATAATTGGTGTTATTATTCCTGCTAGAATAATAAGTATTGCATACCAACGTCCAATTTTATGATTACGTAAAGATCTAATAGCAACAATACTAGCTATTATATGTACTACAATTGAAGTCATAAAACACCATAGAAATATTTCAGCCCATATATCTATTGAAAATAATTAAATAAATTAATTTATTTAAATATAAAAATAACCTCCAAATTCAACCAATCGATGTTTAGGTGTTAATTTTAATGAATCAAGAAGACTTCGAAATGAAAGTTCTTTTAAAAATTTCGACATTATTCTGTATAGAGATATATAAAAATGTTATTCTTGTTAATTTCATTTGATTGATATTTATCCAATCATATTTCATTCTATCATCTTTATAAAGGCATTTCCTATGTTACTGATTATATCGTTAGTTAAATTAAAATCATTTTTCAAATTAATATGATAAACCTAAACTTTGAATTAGTAAATAATCAATTGTTTGAAAATAATTTTTAATCTTTTAATATATTTATATTTTATTTGAAATAATTTTCGTTCAATTTTCAATTTTATTTTCTTTTATTAATTTAATTATTCGAATAGAAAAATCTGTTAAATAATATTGACATAGAATTATTTGTTTTTTTTCTTCTATTCGAAATTCTAAATCATATTGATTAATATATATTAATTTTTATGTAAACAATTCATGTCATTATTCAATAATTCATCTTATTAAAGTATTAATTCCAATTGATGAAAAGATTTTTTACTTGAAACTATTCTTATGAATATGTGAAAAAGAATATATTAAGAGCAACATTTAAATCCTGCCATTGACACTTAAATACTGTAAAAAAAAACAAAACTTTAATAAAGTTTCTTTTTAATATATTCGAATAGTATAAACGATGATCTAGTTTTCTATACTATTATTCATCGAATGTCATTAGTAATCAAACTTTGATAAGATTTCATTGTTTGAAAGAAGAAATAAATATGCATCGAGTTATATATTATATGTTTTCATAGGATTTTCTAACTCCGGAAAAAATCCTCTTTTTTTTTTCGAAAAATAAACAATAAAAAAGCTTTTCTAGAAAAATCACATAGAACTTTGACTAAAATTTGAATATAGACATGACTATTGAAATATTCTTGTGAATATTTGATGCAGTAAGTTTATTTTCAAATAGATTGTATTGAAAACGTTAAAAAAATCATGTTTAAAAAAGTATTTTATTTCCGATTGAATATATCATTGTCTCTTCGTTCGAATGATGAAACTTGCATCTCTCTATCTCTATTTTTTTTTATCAGAATTTATTTTCTGAAAATATCTATTCTGTC